CTTTATTTTCGTGGGTTAGCTATATTTTATGGCTATGTGATCCAAACGGATGACCTAGATTTCTAGAGTTAAACTCGTAAATATCCCGCTCATGAAAAGTCACATAAAACACGAAAGAACTAGTATCCTTAGCATTTTTATTGAAGGGTTTGCTACATCCATTCTATACTAAACAAATTTAAATTCAAAATTATTATGTCGTTTTGCTTAAGTAAAATGTCCAAAAGTTACCGATTAAAAACGAAGAACGTTATGAATATCTAATGAGACGATATTTGCTGAGATAAAAGTGAGGAAACGTACAATTTTCGTTGTTTCCTCAATTTGTAATTATACTAATACATTCAAAAACTTTTATTATTACATGAATACTTGCTCTCTGTACTTTCAGAAAGCAACCTGTTATGCGTAAATTTATAACTACAATTCCACTTGAAATTTAATATTAGTGAGGTAACACTAGTTTTATACTACACAATAACTACTGAAAAAACCCGTGGATCGTGTCAGATTTCATTTAGAAATATACATAAACTGTGGTAATAAAAACTTTCATACAAGTTTGGTATCACAAGGTTTAAATTGCTTTTCAATAAGAGGTTTGAATTCGCCATTTTCTTGGGTAAAGAATATATCTAAAACCTGCAACAAAATGGATAAAAAAGTGCTATCTTTGTTTCACCGTTCAAAATGAGTTTTCATATCTATAGTTAAATTTATATTTCGTTCGATAAAGTTTTCAATTATTATAACCGACTCTTAAACATTCATAGATGTATTTTACTCTATTGGATGTGTATTTTAAAATCTTTAATATTTTGGCCCATGAAATATGTTAAATATTATTGGAGAGTAATAAAAAACGATACGAACAAAGTTTTTACAACAAGGTACAGGTACAAGATCTAAAACAGAACAGTTTTATCAACAAAAGGCAAAATATTTTTAAGATTTCATGATGAAATATATCTACATAATAATAACAGGGAATAATTATTCATATTAAACTAAATCATCACATTGCTTCCTAAAATCAGCCATAAAGAAGTTAATTATTTACAAAGCTGGATTATTGAAACGTTTGATTCCTACGGCGTTCCGGAATCGTTAGCATTAGATTACACTCACGTTTTCTTGATTCTTGTCTGTTTGTTGATGATATTATAAGAATGTCATATATCACACTTGATTATTGAAGGTGATCCGCAAAAACGTGAAACTGTAAAGGCTAATTAATTTAAATACGCAAAAGCCTGTTATCGATTTAGAAAATAAAATGTTAAGCATTCACATCAGAAATTGTACTACATCCGTCAGAGTTCACCTATCATGTTATCATGGTGAAATATGTTAAATTCCATTGAATTTGACACTCTACCCAAAGGATTATAAATTATGATATCAAAATATTATGCATTTGTGTCTATTAGAAATTTGGCTGAGCATGGCATTGTGATTAGCATGTTGGGGGTGCAGATCGTAAGGTCTAATGCTTAAGCCACAACATGCCATTAAACGCTCTCTGCACTTTCATCTATGGGGTGTTATAATTGTAATATCAATTCTGCTATTCGTCTAAGAGTAGTTATGTAGGTGGAAGAAATTCATGATTGGAAGCACTTCCTCTGGTCAGCAGTACTATATTAAGGATAGCTATGTAAGAACCCTAAGGGTCTCTGAACTAGTCACTTGGCCCATGTGTAGCATACGGTATCGTTTAGGTTGAATAAACCAATTAAAAAAAATATGAAAAACTATTTATAGTCAAAATTTTAGGTTTCCCGGTGGGTTAAGGGTAAATTTCCCAACATACAATGCTAGAATCCGGGGATTGATTCCCCGCAGTGGACAGAGCACAGATAGCCTATTGTGTAGCTTTGGGATAAAACAACAACTACAATAAAAATCTTTGCATTATTTTCTGAACATCAATAGATATTTATAACTAAAACAGTATTACCTGTTTTAGCCAATCAAGTAGCAGAAAAATATAGTAAATATAGATGAAAAGTGGTTTTACTCTAATAGTCACTGAGCGAACGTCTATTTGACCATTATTTTTCATTTTTTAATATAATAAGGTAACTTGCTATCATGAACATGTTTTTAAAATACATGTATAATGTTTTGTTAATTACAAAACAAAATGGATACAACAGGCTAAACAACCAGGTCATAGATCCTATGGTTCAGATATACCTGCCCTTAATTTTGAACCACGAACCTAAGAAAAGGCAACTAATTGCAGCACACCAATTGCCTGGAGTAGATATTCCTAACCAAATAGCGGGGTTGATTGTCACTGTTATAACACACGACCAGATGAAAGTGCTATCTTTTTTTAAAGGCACCACGTTTGGAACCCGCGACTCTAAAGACTCCCAGTCCGATACATTAACAACTAGGCCACACTCTGACCTGTCTACATGATAAAAAAGAGAGTTAAAATAAGATATTCCAGGAGCTTATATAAATTATTTGTCGCCTCCTAAAGGACAAATAGGTATTTCGTTTTACTCACCTAGTATTCCTAGCCTGTAGTTAAACGTAACTAAAACAACACTTTTTCCTACCAGCTTCTCAGGACCGTACAAGTCACTACTTCCTCTTTCGAAATCATCACCGTGGATGAAAACCATTACTGGAAAGAGTGAGAGGTTGCCTTGGTTTCGATCCGTCTACCATTGGGATATATAACCATATTTACTATTAGATATTCCTTTCTTTCTTATTAAGTACATCTCTATATTTAGTACACATGAACCAAGGTCATTTTCTAATAATTGTTTATTCTTTTTTTCGCTGAAGATTAAAGAAAATAATATTAATGGTTAAACAGTTGTTAAAATATAATCCAGACTCAAATAAATTTCTAACTTTCTAATAACCTTCAGGATAAAGAAAATACCTTTTGATAACAATTTTATTTTCCTGCTAGCAAGTCTTATGGGGTGAATAAAACTGCTTGTTGATAAGAACACAAATAACTTAAAATAGTTTACACAAGGGTACTAAAACTGCTTGTTGATAAGAACACAAATAACTTAAAATAGTTTACACAAGGGTACTAAAACTGCTTGTTGATAAGAACACAAATTACTTAAAATAGTTTACACAAGGGTACTAAAACTGCTTGTTGATAAGAACACAAATAACTTAAAATAGTTTACACAAGGGTACTAAAATTGTTTGTTGATAAGAACACAAATAACTTAAAATAGTTGACACAAGGGTACTAAAACTGCTTGTTGGCAAGAATGTAAGAAAGTTAGGTCTGTTCACTCACAAGGAGTCAAAATGTTTGTTGTAAGAATATTTATATCAGAGTAGGTGCAAATGTTTGTTGATAAGTATGAAAGTACTTAGGGTAGTTCACTCAGAAATGAATGAAAATTATTTCTTGATATGAAAGTGAAGGACTTAAAAGTTTACCCAGGGTGAGTAAAAAGTGCTTGTTGATAAGAAAGAATGTAAATAATGAGCCAGTACACCTATTTCTTTTGTTGTTTATTAAGCAAAATCCTATACTATTGTATTTATCCTTGTGAGGGTAAGCCATCTTTCAATCATCGCATAAAGTACTTATTCTAACAAATATTCCAGGTGTCAAGTAAAATTACCTGCCGACTAACAGGCACACTTACATTTCCCTTCAATGTTTTCCTCGAAGTTTAAAACCATTTGCCAATTAGTAAGTAAAGTTCCGTTTTAACCTTGCTTTCATCTTCAGAGAGCTTAAATCGCTTGATAATTAATGACTGAAATCCTAACCCTAAAGATTGTTGTTCTTAAAATGGAAATATCATTTAATAATTTTATTCGCTGAAAGAGATAATGTAACAAGTTTAGAGTAGACTGTTTATTACCTCCGTCACCGAAGGTGGACGGAGGTTATGTTTTTATCCCTGTGTTTGTGTTTGTCAGCAATATTTCTCAAAAACGGCTGAATGAATTTGGACGAAAGGTGGTATACATTTGGATTGTGACCCAACTTAGAAGTGATTTAAGGGCGTGAAATTCTTCTGTATCGTACGGCGTCAAATCTATATCAGATGGCAAATAATACACACACACTTTGAAATTAAAACTCTAATTTATGTTACATTCTGAAACTATTCAGCTTGTTCTATTTTGAATCTTAACCTGTATCTATGTTATATTTCGAAATTTAATTTGTATGTTGCATTCCCAAACACATCCCATACCCGTTTAACTTTTATAATCAATCTATAATATTGTATTTAAAATATTAAACTAATTCTGAAAGTTAACTTCTATACACATTTTGCCGCTTCCTGAAATTATATTTTTTCTTGTGTCATTGTATTTTGAAACCGAACCTATCGCAATCTGAGTGTTTTATTGTGAAACTTGACATATATTGTTCTATATCCTGCACTAATGTTTTTGAGCTCCAAAATTTAACATGTATTTATGTTGTAGTATCATTAGTGTAGAATAATAATCAAAAATAACTTACTATTCCAAGCGAAAATGTTTACTGTATGAACAAATATGACTTATCATTATACAAGTACTAAAAATTAATTGAATTGATGGTGTGATTACATAATGTTTAAGTGTGACACTAAATACTGTTATCGTCGATTCTTGGTAGCATTAGATCATATATGAAACTAGAAGGGCACTCAGCAGAACGCATACCTCCGCCCCGCAGCCTTTATTATATTCGGCTCTAAAAAATACGAAAATGTGTCCGTATGTCCGTCTTTATCAACAGACACGAACCATTTCTGGCAGAACAATGAGGAGTAATATTCTACATATTTCCACCAAGTTTCATCAAAATCCGATCATTTTTGACTGAGTAATAGAACAAATATAGTGTGAAAAGTCAGTTCTCATCTTAATAGATAGGGATTTGTTTGGAGTTTTGTTTTCATGTTTGACCTTGACCTCTCCAAAAATTAATCGCTTCTAAGTTGGGTAATAATCCAAATTTATTCCAGCTTTTGTCCAAATCCATTTAGCCGTTTTTAAGAAATCTTGCTGACAAACAGACACACAATAACAGGGGGTGAAAACATAACCTCCGCCACTTTCGGTGGCGGAGGTAACTATCTACAACGGGTTTTACAATTAGAGTCGTCTATCGTATACCACTTTATAGAGCTCACACCTAAAACCAAATTGTGGATAAAAATGACTGCAATAAAACAAATCTATGCTATTCAAATTATTTGAACTAGTTTTTATAGGTCAAAAATGTGTGTGAGAATAAACTGTGATACGTGTTTTTCAACCATTTTATTAGTCATAGTTTCCGTATAGCTTTGTTCACCAACAGAAAATCAAGAAGTTTTCTACTGCTGATTTTTTATATGTTAATCAATCATGAAAACAAGTTGGTCATTTATTCATACTTCCTCTAATTATGTCAAAGAAGATATATGAAAGAACTCTGAAGATGAAAAACAAATCTTGTAAATGATTTACAAAACTTTTTTCGATAAAACTAACATCTTGATAAGAATATGATGTCAAAATATACAACTTTTAATTTTAGACAGCCCTATACGCTTTATATTTCTTACGTAGGTATATCCCCCTCTTCTTTTCTATTACTTTATACTGGTTACTAACGAGGGAAGTAGGCGATTCGTTACATGTACTTAACATTTCACTGACCTACTTTCTTCAACTATTGAACTTATAGTTTGAATCACATTTGTCAATAACATTTCCATTTCTGATGAGGGTCATCGAAAACATTGACCAATTTTTACCATTTTTACAGAATTATAATTTCTCTTATTTTAGCTTTCAGATTATTTTCAGTTAATCTCCATTTGCATTTGTGAGATTACTTTATAAAAAAACAAGATGTGGACTCTGGTGATTAATAGTTTCACATGCTTTTGTTCGTGTGCTAATAATCCTTCTGTAGAAAACCTAGAAAAAATAAACAGTATTTTCGTTCAAGGAAACCAGATTGTGTGCTTAGCTAATGTCCAGAGCAAAACTGATGTTTGCTCCTTAACTTGAATTTGTTAGTTAGATAAGTTTAATGTTAATGCTCCATTGTCATTATAAACTTTCCTTTGCGAATACACCAGGCATTCCATCAGGTTTAATTGTACGTTCTAGTGACATGTCCTTGTGTGCACACTAGTCATATATTTGTTTAACTGCGATGAACGTTTCTGTCTAAATCAGTGCTTTTAAAAACGAAAAGCGCCCTAACCACCTGGCCATGCCGCGCCCATTTAAAATCTGTCACCCCAGTCACACTAATGGAACATTACATACAGTCAAGCTGTTAGAATAAAGGAACTATGCTCAAATGAAACAGATTACAGAAAACACACCAAGGATCTAAAACAAACTATGTTACAAAGAGGAGATAAACATACCGAAATCGACAGACAGTTCGAAAAAGCTGACAGTACATCCTAAACTAGAGAAATACTAAAGTTTCAAATTGAATTCCTCTTATTATTACGTATCAGTTTAAACTCAGAAACGTTTCATGAATTCTTTCATCACCTACAACTGAACGATCGCCTTAAACAGATATTTCCTTCCGAAAAAGGAAAACTCTAAAAGATATCCTCGTTCACACAAAAGTGAATTACACCCCACCAAAAAATGGTTGTCATCCATGCAATAAAGCTCGTTGTTAAACCTGCAAGTTCCTAAAAACCACTGACTCATTTTCTGACAAGCAAAACCAAAGAAACTTTAAAATATTCAAAGAATTCACTTGAGGAACACAAAACACCATTTCCCTTATACAGCGTAAATAATGCAATCACCAATATGTAGGACGTGCATAAACAACTCTTACAGAACGTTTCAATAACTGTAAATCTTCTATTAACACCGAAAAAGATCTCCCTGTTGCTCAACACTTTAACCAACCCGGTCATTTCATAAACGATGTTACTCCCATCGGTACTGAAACAGGATTCAAAACTAAAGCTGATAGGGAAATAAAAGAAGTTTATTGGATTGCTAATCTAAACACTGTTCGACCTTTTGGAATTAATCTAGATCCTTGAATCAATAATCTCCGATCATTGGTTTCATCTCTGTCAGAAAAATAATTTTTATTCCTTGCTTATTTCTTTCATGTAGTGTGAACCCTAACTTTCCTAAAAATTACTATTTATTTAAGATAATTTGGTATGAACTGATTAGCTTAACACCTGTTTTCCAATCAGTCTCCAGATGTCATCTATATTTTACTTAAACACTTATGTATAGTTATATATATATATGTAGCCAATTCTAAAGCAAAATATCCCTAACACCTTTTTACATAACTCTCTTGTCGCCGGCTACATTGCATTGGAAATGAGATACTTACAACAGTACATGGAAAATTATACTATACATTTCCTGGAAATCACTCGTTCGATCACACCACCATTGCCCACGGCTGCTCCCTCGACTTCCACCACTTTAGGGCAGAAAAACCATACTGAAAGCCTCACCCACCCCTGCCCTAACAACTCGCAACTCCCTGACAACACTTGCTTCCTTCCTGTAACCCTAAGTTTATGCTAACCATCAACAAAGGACCAACAAACCCAGATTACACCTATAACTGAAACCAGGCTACAAGACAAGTCAACTCAAGCAACACCAACAACAAGAAGGAAAAAAGGAACCCAGACCCAGCCGCCACCTACAGACCTAGTACAACTTCAAACCA